AAGATGTGGAAAAATTGCATTGTTGGTGGAGTTGTAAACTGATCCAATTATTTTGGAGAGCAATTTGGAACTATGCCCAAAGGGGTATAAAAATGTGCATACCCTTTGACCCAGCAATAGCACTTCAAGGGCTATATCCCAAAGAGATCAGAAAAATGGGAAAAGGACCCACATGTACAAAAGTATTTACAGCATCTCTTCTGTGGTTGCAAAGAATTGGAAATTGAGGGGATATCCATCAATTGGTGAATGACTGAACAAGTTGTGTTATATAAATATAATGGAATACTATTGTGCTATGCAAAATTGCTCGTCATTTCTAAGTGGTGCAGCTGGGTGGTGCAGTGGATAGAGCTCTGGCCTTAGTTCAAATCTGACCTCAGACACTTGACACTTACTAGCTGTGTGACCCCGGGCAAGTCACTTAACCCCAATTGCCTCACCAAAAAGCAAAAGAGAGAGAGAGAGAGAAAATGATTATCAAGTGGACTTCAGAAAAACCTGGAAAGACTTATATGGGCTGATGCTGAGTGAAATGAGCAGAGCCAGAAGAATGTTGTACACAGTGACAGCCATGTTGTGCAATGATTAACTTTGATAGACTTAGCTCTCCTCAGCAATGCAAGGATCTAAGACATCTCCAAAAGTCTCATGATGGAAAATGCTATCCACATCCAGAGAAAGAACCATGGGGTTTGAATGCAGATCAAAGCATACTGTTTGCTCTGTTTTTCCCCTTCTGTTTTGTTTTGTTTTGTTTCTTCTTTCTTGTGGTTCTTCATATTGGTTTTAATTCTTCCTTACAACATGACTAATGTGAAAATATGTTAAATAGGAATGTATATGTAGAACCTATATCAGATTGCACGCCATCTTGGGGAGGGAGGGGGAGAAAATTTAAAACTCAAAAGCTTATGGAAATGATTATTGAAAACTAAAAATAAATTTATTAATTAAAAAAAGGATAAAAATGGAACATATGCCCTGAAGAAAGGTACAGAAATACTCATTATAATTAAGGCCCTCTAACTGTAGACATCTGAAAATTACAAAATTACTTGAATGCCTAGTTCAAAATATAAAAAATGTATATATACAGTGGTCATTTTTATAGGTGGCATGTTACAATAAAGTATCATTTGATATCATCTTAAAAAAACAAATGAAAGAGGCCATGCTTGATTCAGGCTGGTGTCTGGTGCTTCACATTTAGTATTAGAATGAAATGAGACACTCAAAGATCATCTAACAGTTAACCAAAACTTTACTTAGCCATAGCATGGAAAAGATACTCAGCAAGGTCACAGAATTAATTTAGCTGAGCTCAGCTTCCCTAGCTCTGTGCTGGCCATACTAGCAAGTCAATCAAGCCTGAGGGAGAGCAACTCTTACCTCTTCATGAACTGGCTTTTGTATTCAGACCTCTAGGAGACTGTATCAGTGACATGGCCTGAGTCCCATGAGTCAATTAATTCACGAGGATTGTTTCAATACATTTTAAGGAAAAACTAATCTTGCTTATCTGGTAGATGTTGCTCCTACTAAGCCCCATCCCTTGGTGATAAGGTCCAAAAGGAATTCTAGATGAGTACTTTCTTTTTTTCTTTTGTTTTGTTTTGTTTTCTTTTTTTAATTTTTTATGGTAATTTTTCTTTTTTTTTTGTTTTTAACATTTACTTCCACAAGATTTTGAGTTCCAAATTTTCATCCCATCTCACCCCTCCCCCCACCCCAAGATGGCATGCATTCTGAATATCCCTTCCCCTAGTCTGCCTTCCCTTCTGTCTCTCCCCCCCTTTTCTTATCCCCTTCCCCTTCAATTTTCCTGTAGGGCAGGATGGATTTCTGTACCCCATTTCCTGTATTTCTTATTTCCCAGTTCCAAGTGAAAACATTTTTTTTAAACATGTGTTTTTAAAACTTTGGGTTTCAAATTTTCTCCCTTACTCCCTCCCCACCCACCCTCATTGATAAGGCAAGCAACTAAATATAGGTTATATATGTGTAGTTATGCAAAACACTTCCATAGTAGAAATGCTGTGAAAAACTAACTCTTCTCCCCTTAATCCTATCCTACCCCCATTTATTCTATTCTTTCTTTTGACCCTGTCCCTCCTCAGAAGTACTTGTTTCTGATTACCCCCTTTCCCAATCTGCCCTCCTCACTATCATCCCCCTACCCTCTTGTCCCCCTATTTTCCTGTAGGGTAAGACAGATTTCCATACCCAATTGAGTGTGTATGTTATTCCCTCCTTAAGTCAAATCCTATGAGAATAAGATTCACTCATTCCCTCTCACCTTCCCCCATTTCCCCTCCACTGTAAGAACCTTTTCTTTTGTTTTTTTGTGAGATAATTTACCCCATTCTACCTCTCCCTTTCTCCTTCTCCTAGTATAATCTTCTCTCACTCCTTAATTTTATTCTCCAGATATGACCCCTTCATTCTCAACTCACCCTGTGCCCTCTATCTATCTATCTATCTATCTATCTATCCATCTATCTATCTATATCTATATATATGTACATATAATTTTTTTCCCTCCAACTACCCTAATACTGACAAAGGTCTCATGAGTTACACATATCATCTTTCCATGCAGGAATGTAAACAGTTCAACCATAATAAGTCTCTTATGATTTTCTTTTTCCTGTTTACCTCTTCATGTTCCACTTGAGTCTTGTATTTGAAAATCAAATTTTCTATTCAGCTCTGGTCTTTTCATCAGAATGCTTGAAAGTCCTCTATTTCACTGAATGTCCATTTTTTCCCCTGCAGGATTATACTCAGTTTTGCTGGGTAGGTGATTCTTGGTTGTAATCCTATCTCCTTTGCCCTCCGGAATATCATATTCCATGCCCTGCAGTCTCTTAATGTAGAAGCAGCTAAATCTTGTGTTATCCTGATTGTGTTTCCACAATACTTGAATTGTTTCTTTCTGGCTGCTTGTAATATTTTCTCCTTGACCTGGGAACTCTGGAATTTGGCTACAATATTCCTAGGAGTTTTCCTTTGAGGATCTCTTTCAGGAGGAGATCAGTGGATTCTTTCAATTTCTATTTTGCCCTCTGGTTCTAAAATATCAGGGCAGTTTTCCTGGACAATTTCTTGAAAGACGGTGTCTAGGCTCTTTTTTTGATCATGGTTTTCAGATAATCCAATAATTTTAAAATTCTCTCTCCTGGATCTATTTTCCAGGTCAGTTGTTTTTCCAATGAGATATTTCACATTGTTTTCTAATTTTTCATTCTTTTGGATTTGTTTTACAGTGTCTTGATTTCTCAGAAAGTCACTAGCTTCCAATTGCTCTATTCTAATTTTTAAGGAAGTATTTTCTTCAGTAAGCTTTTGGACTTCCTTTTCCATTTGGCCAATTTTGCTTTTTCGGGCATTCTCCTCCTCATTGACTTTTTGGACCTCTTTTGCTATTTGAGTTAGGCTATTTTTTAAGGTGTTATTTTCTTCAGTATTTTTTTTGGGTCTCCTTTAGCATCACTCTGTTTTTCCTCTACTTCTCTTACTTGCTTCTCAAAATCCCTTTTGAGCTCTTCCAAGGCCTGGGACTGATTCATATTCTTCTTGGAGGCTTTGGATGTAGGTGCTTTGGCTTTGTTGTCTTCTTCTGATTGTATGTTTTGATCTTCTTTGTTACCAAAGTAAGATAATATAGTCTGACTCTTTTTGCACTGCTTACTCATGATCCCAGTCAATTACTTGAGTTTTAAGCTCTTTGTTAAGGTAAAAGTCTGCTTCCAATGTGGAGAATGTACTGTCCCAAGCTTCGGGGGTTTGTACAGCTTTTTTCAGAGATACTTCTAGGGACCTGAAAATTTTTAGTTCTTCCAAGGTGGTATGATAAGGGGCGAGGTGTTTCCTCTCCACTGCCACAACAAGCTCCACCACGCCAGCACTCCTTCTCACCCCAGGTCCGCCCCTCAGAACTGTGACCCAGATCCAAGCACCAGAAAGGCAAGAGATTCCTGCTTCTGCCTCAGCACTGGCAAAGAGAACCCTGCAATCTGCCTCTGATCAGCCACTCGATTCCCCCTCAGTCTGTGGGCCAGAAGCTCAGGAAACAGCTGCAGCCCCGGGGGCGGCTGAGACTTAGTTCCTTTCTCACTGCAGTCAGACTTTTCCCACTGACCTTCTATGTTGTCTTTGGCATTCGTGGGTTGAGAAGTCTGGAAATCGCCACAGCTGCCAGTGATTCAGTCCTCTGCGGCCTGCTCCAGGTTTGCTGCGGCCTGTGCCCACACCGCCCCACGCTCCTCTCCCAGCCCAGAGCAATATACCTTTCCGATCAACCATCCAGGCTGTCTTTGGCTGGGAATTTGTTTCACTCTGTCTTTTTGTGGGTTCTGCTGCCTCAGAATTTGTTTAGAGCCATTTTTTATAGGTATTTGGAGGGGTTTTGGGGGAGAGCTCAAGCAAGTCACTGCTTTCCCTCTGCCATCTTGGCTCCTCCCGGAAGCAATCTTTTCTAGATGAGTACTTTCTACAACTTTACGGCTATTTATTTTGCTCCAAGTGTTTTGTTTAATGATGTGACCCTCTATATTTGTCAAATATCCCCTGAATTTATTATGGGGAAGACAGAGAAAGACACAGAGAGACAAAGACGGAGACAGAGAGAAAAAAAGTAAGATGAAGGAGGTGAAGTGAGAAAAGACAATGGAAGAGAAGAGAAAAAGAATTTATTAAGCTTTTACTATAGGCCAAGTGGTATGCAAATCATGGGGTTACAAATATGAGCAAACAAAATAATCCCTACCCTACATTCTATTAGGAGGAATACCACACTAAAAGGAGGGCTAAAAAGAGGAGTACTACATGTGAAATGGCTTGTGAATGTGGGCAATTGATCCTGATCAAGATAAATCAAAAGGGGATAAATCAGAGCCCAAGTTAGCTCCAATGGCAGAGTATAAGAATCTGGTGGGGATGAGGGGAAGATAAGGATGATGGCCAGACTGAGTGGTTTAGAAATGGCAGCCATGAGCTTGCTTCAGTAGCATATGTACTAAAATTGGAAAAATACAGAGAAGATTAGCATGGCTTCTGCACAAGTATGACATGCAAATTCATGAAGCATACTATATTTTTTAAAAATGGCAGCCAGAAGTATATGGTGTAAAATGCTAGTCAAAGCATTTATTTAAAAAATTTTAAACTACTTTCCTATTGTCTCAGCAGTTCTCATCAAATAATGAATCTATCCCCAAGAAGTTTATATTCTGTTGTTTCTCAAATACTGTTATCGAGTTTGATTGTTTCTGATTCTTGCTAATCTAGGTTGTTCCATTGATTTGTCCCTGAAGATTTTTGAGGACAGACTACACACTGCTATTCACTGTTGTCAAATCTGCCACTTCAACTTCAATCACTATGACACAAAGCAAACATCTCCCTCCAGATGAATTGAATTTTAAAATAGAATAGAAATAATATCTGAATGAAAAGTGAATGGATTTGTGGATATAAACAAACACTGAGTCAATTTTATAGAGAGGATAGAAGCCTTACATTTCTGGGAATTTGAGGTATTTTTCATAAAAGGTAATTAGAAAACTTTTGGGAAGTTACAGGAGCATAGATTTAGAGCCAGAAGGGATCATAGGAGTTATCTAATCTGACTCTTTACTTTCTACTAATAGAAAATAATAGCCTCACTATTACACACTTACACTCTTACACACTTTGGATAAATTTGGCTTTGTTAACTCAGGGGACATTTAAGTTTGTTCTCTCTTTCAGAAGACTAATCCAAGAGCCCTTAGTAGACACAAAAATGTTTTTGATTTCTTAGCACTATTTTCCAATAGTACATTTCCTATTCTTTTGCAACCCCTGGCAAAAAAAAAAATCAACAAATTGTTGTACTATATGGCATTCAGTTCTAGAAGATGATGCATAGACTTCCTTTTTCAAAAGAAATGACAGCTGTATCCACCACCCCCACCAGTGAATATAAGGAGAACTTGGAAATAAGTCTTCACTGATAGAAAGATACAATGGCTTTCTTTCTTCCTCTCTCTCCTCTCCTTTCCTTCTTTCCCTTCTCTCTCTCTCTCTCTCTCTCTCTCTCTCTCTCTCTCTCTCTCTCTGTCTCTTTCCTTTCCCCCCTCCCTTACTAAACTGCTAAATAGTCCTACCATGTTACTATGAGGATTTAAATATGTCTCCCAATGATCCCTTTGGGAATTTTCAGTATTTGGCCTTGTCTAGCATTTTTTCCAAAAGACTCACAAAGAGAACATAGTATTCCAGTGACATCTTTGAATTTCAAGTGACCTGGTAAAGGTTTCTTTAAATTGTGATAGAAATCTCTAAATAGGGGTCTTGTTTCTCATATATTATAAGAACAATGTTAATTGTCCAGAACCACAAAACTGTTCTTTATACCTCTCACCAATCTGGCCAACACAAAAAATGTTGAGTTCAGGGAACTCACTGAGGAACCTCTACAAATAATCCCCTAGATCAGAGGAATGTTCTAATATTTTGCCCTTGTAAGGCGTCTTTCTTCCTGGAGTCTTAAAAATACTCAATAAACATGAAGTTAGCTAATCCTACTGGCTTTTTCTTCTGAAGATCATTCATTTCTTTTCAGTTGTGTCTGACTCTTTATGACCCAATTTGAGGTTTTCTTGACAAAGATACTGGAGTGACTTGCCCTTTCCTTCTCTAGCTTTTTTTCTTACAGGTGATAAAACTGAGGCAAACAGGCTTAAGTAACTTGCCCAGGGTCCCACAGCTAGTAAGTGTCTGAAGCCATATTTGAACTCGGGTAGATGAGTCTTTCCAGGCCCACTAAACCACTAAAGGTACCAAACTAGAGAAACTGGAGCACAGAGATAAATGACTCCATCCAACAAGCTCTTAATTAAAAAGTCAGATTGTGGGTAGAAATGCAGAGTTCTCATCCTAGCCTTTTATTCTAAACCTCAATTGTAGAAAGAATGTACAGGATCTGTCCTACACAGTGATAGCCATTGGTTAGAGGCAGTCCTCCATCTAAGCACGCCAACCTTAGAAAGGACTAGTCCATAGAACTGAGCTGTTGCCTGAGCCTGCTGTCACCAAAGGTCCCCGCAAGTCATTCACTGGGGGCAACTAGGTGGCACAGTGGATAGAGCACCAGCCCTGAAATCAGGAGAACCTGAGTTCAAATCCGACCTCAGACCAAACACTTGATACTTACTAGCTGAGTGACCCTGGGCAAGTCACTTAACCCCAATTGCCTAAAAAAAAAAAAGTAATTCATTGAATCACCATCTATCCCACTCCCTTCCACTGAACTCAAGGAGCATCAGTATGCTGAGATTTTCAGGGTTCAAAGGGATTTAGTAGACCTAGGGCTTAGGCCCCAAGGAAGCTTTAGACACAGCACTATAATTACTACTAAAAGTTCAACTGCCTTGTGGATTAACTAGGCTTTTATGCCCTAGTCTAGGAACCTAACTTACATCTGTAACAGTGAATCTATGAGGAAACAATGTTCTCCAACTTCCAAACGGCTGGTTGACAATCAAACTTTGAAAAGTAACCGTGAAAAAGTTTAAAAAATAATAAAAAAGAAAAGCAACCATGAAAAGCAACCAAAAGGAGCCACTTTATTAATTTTTAATGATTTTTTGTTTGATATTTTACTTTTCCCAATTACATGTAAAAAACAGTTTTTAACATTAGTTTTTTAAAAATGAGTTCCAAATCCTCTCTCTCCTTCCCCATCCCCTTATTGAGAAGGCAAGCAATTTGATATAGGTTATACATATACAGTCATGTAAAACATATTTCCATATTGTGAAAGAAAACACAGACCAAAACAAAGAAAAAAAAGCAAGAAAAATAAAGAAATTTTGGAAAGTATGCTTTGATCTGCATTCAGACTCCATCAGTTCTTTCTCTCAGGATGGATAGAACTTTCATCCTAAGTTCTTTGTAATTGTCTTGGATCTTTGTATTGTTGAGAATAGATAAGTCATTCACAGTTGATCATTGTACAATATTGCTATTACTGTGTACATGTTCTCCTGGTTCTGTTCATTTTACTTTGCATCAGTTCATGCAGGTCTTTCCAGGTTTTTCTGAGAGCATCCTGCTCTTTATTTCTTTTAGCACAGTAGTATTTCATCACAATCATACCACAACTTGTTCAGCCATTCCCCAATTGATGAGCAACCCCTCACTTTCAAATTCTTTGCTACCACAAAAAGAGTTGCTATAAATATTTTTTGTACATAGAAGTTCTTTCCCTTTTTGTCTTTTATCTCTTTGGGATACAGACCTAGTGGTAATATTGCTGGGCCAAAGGTATGCAGGGTTTCATAGCCCTTTGGGCATAAGTCCAAATTGCTCTCCAGAATGGTTGAATCAGTTCATAACGCCTCCAACAGTTCATTAGTATCTCAATTTTCCCACATCCCCTCCAACATTTGTCATTTTTCTTTTCTGTCATAATAGCCAATCTTACAGGAGTGTGATGGTACCTCTGAGTTGTTCTAATTTGCATTTCTCTAATCAATACTGATTTAGAGCATTTTTTCACATGACTATAGATAGCTTTGATTTCTTCATCTGAAAACTGCTTGTTCATATCCTTTGACCATTTATCATTTGGGGAATGATTTGTATTCTTATAAATTTGACTCAGTTCTTTATTATATATTTGAGAAATGAGACCTTTATCAGAGAAACTTGATGTAAAATTTTTTTCAGTTATGATTACTGTGTATTTCCCTCCATCCTATTGCCCCCCATCTCTCTCTCTCTCTTTCTCTCTTTCCTCCCCTCTCCCTCCCTCTTGTTCTCTTGCTCTCTCTCCTTCCATCCTGTGAATCATCAAAAGTATTTTCCTTCCAATTACCACCTCCCACAATCTGCCCTCCCTTCTACTAATTTAATTAATGCCTTTCATTGTATACCCTACACTTTCATCTTAGCAAAAAAGATGAGTTGATCTTCACCAACTATTGGACAATTTAGAGTTGCTTGTAGTACATAGAGATTCAGCCTTGTCAAGGCTCATACCACCAATATATGTCAGATGCAGGACTGGAATACAAGTCTTCCTGACTCCAAGGCCAACTCTCTATCCATTACACCAGGTGTCCTCTCCCAACAGCTGCTTTACTGCACTTAACAGCAGATCTTATAGAGGCCTCCTTCAACATTTGCAGGTCTCCCCTCCCCCTTTCCTTGGAAGGTGCATCCCGACAAAATTCACATTTCAATCCATGCAAAATGGCTTTGTTCTTCAGCTGGGCAGGAGCTATGATGATCCTCTTTTTTTCTCCAAGGAGCACACTGTTAATTAATTAACTAGAAGGATCAAGTGAATAAATACAGATGTATATATGTATATGTGTGTGTTATATATACAAATATGTATATGTATGCATATATAATTGGTGGAAGCTACATTGAGGTATATTTAGTCATGTGGTATATGAATGTAATGGAATACTATCACACACAAGAAATTGTGAATATGAGGAATTTAGAGAAACATGAAAGGACTTTTACTAACTGATGCAAAGTAAAGTAAGCAGAACCAGAAAAATAATATGCACGACTACAATATAAAAAAAATCAATAAAATAAAACCGAACACTATGTAATTATAATGACTAATTTTGGCCCCAGAAAAGAGATGAAGAAATGCACCTCCGTCCTTTCACTAGAGAGGTGGGGAGAACATGGGATTGGAATATCACATATGCTGTCATATAGGGTTGGTATGTCAATTGATTTTGTTTAACTGTTATGCTGGGATTTTTTTAATGTGTCACAAGGAGCAGTTCATTGGATAGGTAAGGGTATATCTAGATATGATTATAAATTTTTTAAATTTTATTTATTTATTTTTAGTTTTCAACATTCACTTCCATAAGATTTTTGAGTTCCAAATTTTCTCCCCCTCCCTCTCCTCTCCCTACCCCGAGATGGCATGCAATCTGATACAGGCTCTACATATACATTCTTATTAAACATACTTTCACATTAGTCATGTTGTAAAGAAGAATTAGAACCAATGGAAGGGACCACAAGAAAGAAGAAACAAAACAACAAAAAAAGCAAATAGTATGCTTCAATCTGCATTC